ATCACTTTTGATCACCAACCTATCCTAGAAAGAAAGGCATCTCAGCCAGCAATAGCCAGGCTGCCACCATTTGTGTTCCCTGACCTCAATGAGTCCCTTGTTCAACTATTAAAAGTGTGCTTTTATCAAATGGATGAAACTAGAAAACACCATCCTGAGTGAGGTAACCCAGATCCAGAAAGACAAACATGGTATGTATTCACTCATAAGTGGATATTAGATGTAAAGCAGAGGATAACCAAACTGCAGTCCACAACCACGGAGAAGCTAGGTAAAAAGGGGGACTCTAAGAGGTATCACATGGAGGGCTACAGGGAAAGAAAATAGTTGAGATCTCCTGGGTAAACTGAGAGGGGGTAGAATGGAAGGGATGGGGAAAGAGAACATTTGTGATCAAGAAGACTTAGTTGGGGGAGGACAGAGGGAGAAACCAATGAATGAACTATCTTGATAAAGGAAGCCATTTTGAAGTTAGGGAGAAACATGATGTTGGAGAAATTCTCAGAAATCCGCAAGGATGACCCAAGCTAAGACTCCTCTCCTAGGAAGAGGGTGTCTGAACAGGCCTTCTCATTTAATCAGATTAGTGACTGCCCTAATTGTCATCCTAGAACCTACATCTAGTAATTGATAGAAGCAGATGCAGTGACTCATAGGCAAGCACTGAGCTGAGCTCCTGGAGGTCATTTGAAGAGAGGAGAGGATCCTGTGAAAAGGTAGGGTGTCAAGACTATGATAGGGAAAAACCACAGAGACAGCTGACCCAAACTGGTGGGAGCTCACAGACTATGTATTGACAGCTGGGAAACCTGCTGCCGTCTGAATGTGGGTGACAGTTATGTGACTTGATGTGTTGGAGAGGAGGCTGGCAGTGGGACCAGGACCTAACCCAGAAGCATGAGTGGGCTTTTGGAGCCCACTCTCTGGTGGGATGCCTTGTGCAGCCTTGATATGGGGGTGGAGGCAGAGGAGAGATTTGGTCCTGCCTCAACTTGATACACCAGATGACTTTGAACTCCCCAGGGAAGGCCTTACCCATCTAAGGAGTGGAGGGAGGTGGGAAGTGAGTGGGTGGGAGAATGGGAGAAGATGGGAGGGGAAACTGGGGTTGGTATGTAAAATGAAAAATAAATTTTTTTAATTAAAAAAGGTATGCTTCAATAAACTTTAAATTGTTCCCAAGCACTTTGTACTTCAAAATCATCAACAAAAACATCTTAACCTAACCTTAAGTCATTATTTAAAGCCTTGGTTTGCTATGATGCACACCAAAACCCATGAACACATCCCCCAACATTAAGACTAAAAGAACTTGAGCTATCTGGGACTCAGTTGTTTTTCTTAATCATTAACCTAAGCCACAATGTATATGGCTCCTCAAGAGAAACCCATGAATGTAGCTGCATGACACTTACTTGTTCTTATTTTCTAGTCTCTACAGCCCCTGCTCTATCAGGGGCATGGGCCACACCATATCCTCATTTTACCTATATTTATTTTCCATTAAATTAACCTCTATCCCAGTCCTTTAATATAGTTATTAAAATCCCTCAATCATCAAAATTCTATTTAACCTAACACTATTGGGTGTGGTTCAAGACAGGGTTTCTCTGTGTAGCTTTGGAGCCTGTCCTCGACCTCACTCTGTAGACTAGGCTGGCCTTGAACTCACGGAGATCCACCTGCCTCTGCCTCCTGAATACTGGGATTAAAGGCATGTGCTACTACCACACAGCCCCAACACTGTTTTTGTATAAAATCATTGCTTCAGTTAATGATTAAGAGGAAATCATCTTCATAATAATCCACAGGTAAAAATACCCAATAAAACAAGATATTCCTGAGATAATCACATTGTATTAAAGGCAGTAGGGATTCCCCCACACACCTGTTCACACCAGAGAAAAGGAGTGGTGGCAAACATGCAAAGACAGCAGTAACAAGACATTCTGGAACCGAAGCATGCACAGCCTTGCCTATCCAAGACTCATCAATGCCTTGCATTCTGGTGGCCTGAACTGCTGAAGTCAGTTGTCTCATGCTGCTCCTCTGACATGGCCACCAACAAATATGTGTACTTGCCAGGTGTCCAAACCTTTAATCCCAGAACTTGGTAAGCAGAGGCAGGTTGATCTCTCTGAGTTCTAGGCCAGCCTGGTCTACAAAGTTAGTTCCAGGACAGTGACAGCCAGATAATCACACAGAGAAACCCTGTCTTAAAAAAAAAAAAAAGAAAAGAAAGAAAGAAAGAAAAAAAATCTATGTCCATGTGTCTTTGTCCACTTACTTTCTTCCATAAAGCCACATATTCATCATTAACAGGGAATTACCCTTGGTAAGATTTAATGTGTCATTTTTATAATGCATCTGGTTTCAATAATATGTACTCCTAAGTATGCATAGGCATAATATTGTAAATATTGAATTCTTCCTTTACAAAAGTGATCCCTCAAAGGACATTTTTTTTTTCTTATTGAGCTTACAGCAAAAACTAGCTAATAATGGATTGGCCCAATTTCCACATGTCTTGGATGTGTAGTGGTTTGTATTTGAGTAGAAATGGGGCTTTGCTGAGGGTTTTCTATTGGGAGTAACCTATTTCCATTATTTAAAGTGGGTATATGAGTAATCTGATGCAGGGGTGTGGGAGGGTGTCCAGTTACTACCATGCTCATGTATGTGCCTTGTTGGAGTAGCATATGTACATAGCCCCAAGATATGTAAAGTCCCATGTTGTTAAAGCTTTTCCTATGTTTTCATGCCTTAATATATTTGTGGCAACCTCCAGTTGAAGAACATAATCTCCCAATGAGCCTCTTGTAGAGACATTGACCCATGAGTTGAGTTACTGTATGGATGAGAGTGGAAGATGTTTATTGGTAGGAATAATGGCATAATAATTATAAGAAGGGAGTGCTGCTGGACTATATATCCAGTAAAGAAAGTCCAGGAAATGCAGTGATCTGAGAGAGCCTGTTGCCTTTGGGTTTGATTAAGAAATGGGAGAGAATAAGATGGTTATTACTACATAATTAGAGAGAACAGGTTATTTGCAGCTTGTGTTACCAAAAAAAAAAAAAAAAAAAAAAAAAAAAAGGACAGGGCTTCTGAGCTCTCAGATGTACACATTGCATTATTATAGAGAGTGGAGATATCAGAAAAAGTCACAAGATGTAAAGACAGAAAGGAGGAGGAAAGTTGCTCATATTAGACAGACATTGATTTCACCTTAACTAGAAAGGTCTGACTTCCCAGTGCAGTGACCTGGTTATCTTACAATGGGCTGACATCTATGGCCTCTTAAATGAATAATGTGTGGGCAGATATCAGGAGTTTTCAAGGGATAAGGAGTACTCAAGGAAAGACAAAGAAGTAAATGGTCCCCATTCAGGGCCTTGCTCTCTTGAAGTGGATGTAGAGCTTGTGGCAGAACAATTATGCCTTGGGAAGAGGGACTTAGTTTGCTCCAGACTCCACTACCCAAAGTACAGCTGTTTTCCACCATCAATGTATGTGGTTAGCAACACAGTAGTTTGTAATTGTTTTGTGTAATCTGTGCGTACAAAGAATTTTTTTCCTTCCTCCTTTTACTTTTCTACTTGTCTCTATAAACACCCTGCCTACTGAAGCAGTGACACTCTGGCTCACACAATTGAGAACACAAGAAGGAGGATAAAATGGAAAGGGGGGGGGGAGATCCGGTTTTTATGAAAACATATATTTCCTTTTAAATTGGGTCTATATGTATGTCAGTGTGCATGAGTGTGTTGTTGCCAGTGGATGCCAAATAAGTTGTTAGATCCCCTGGGGTTGCAGTTACGTGCATTTGTAAGCCACCTGGATGTGGGTGCTGGGAACAGACTCCACTCCTGTTTTAGAGTAGTGGTTACTCTTTCTTTTGTTTTGCTTTTGCTTTTGTGAGACAGGGGTTCTCTAGCCCTGGCAGTCCTGGAACTTGCTCTGTAGATCAGACTCACATAGATCTGCCTGCCTCTACCTTCCAAGATGTAAGGCATGCATCACCACCACCTGGCAGAGCAGCTATTACTCTTAACTGCTGAGCTATCTTTCCAGCTGTAAAACAAGTATTGTAAAATCAAGTAGCTGTAAAGTTTGGTTTCAGTCCTGAGACATGAGGGCACTCACTCAAGTATTGTTTCTAGCCTCCTTTTGTTATGGAGGAGGAGTTCAGTTGCTAAGGAGGGTAGCATGCCCAGATGGTTCAACTGATAGGCTGATTTGAGGTAAGCTTCTGTTCACTGCCCATGTCCTTTTCCATACTTCATCAGAATTTGGTCATACCCAAGATGAAAAATAAGCTTTATTATCCTTATAGGTTCATTTGCAACATTTGCCTTATTGTTTGTGTCAGATAAGCCCATAGTCTGGTGTGTGTTCTAATTTGTATTTGAGTGGAGTCCACACATTACCAAGGCTGCTATGTGGAATAATGTATTTTAATTGTTTAAAGCATACTTGCATCCCAATACATCGAGGATACTAGATTGACAGTAAGTTAGTAGATGCATTTTTCAGAAAGGGATATTTGCACTGTCTAAGCCAAGTAGAGTCTTACATTGTTCAATAATTCCTCGTGAATATTCCTTATTCCTGCCTCTCTATAATCCCAGTGTCCAATGCTAATCTCTTTAATAATACAGCTGCTTTGGTGGAATCTACGTGTCCAATACTTTAAGATTGCATACATTCCTCTCCTCTATCACATAAATTATTCTATTATCTTATATCCAACTTCATCCAGGATCTTAAGCCCTGGCCAGAACAAATCCATATTTGTGGCAAAGTAGGAAATGAATGGCCTCGGTCTCAGTTCCTGATAGAGTTCTAATTTTTCTCTAAAATGGCACAAAGTAGACTGCTTGTCTACATTTCTGTCAGCATTCTTGTTTTCCAGCTTTCACTATCATGGCCTAGTCCTGTTAAGGTGACAGATCTTGTCAAATTGACAATTAACACTAATCATTTCCCTATTATTTTAGGAGCCAGTGACATTTGAGGATGTGGCTGTGAACTTCAGCCCAGGAGAGTGGGCTTTCTTGGATTCAAGTCAAAAGAAGCTCTATAGAGATGTGATGACAGAAACCTTTATGAACCTGATCTCCATAGGTAAAAAAAAAAAAAACTATGATTCTTTTGCTTATTCAGAGAGAGAACAGCTGTTTCTTGCTTTTCTGTATAGTTTCATGAATTGAAATATTGAAAGAGGACAAAGAGGACATGATGGTGACTGTAGCATGCCAAGTCATAGTATACCACAGTAAAAGGTAGACTATAATAAATGTTTTCTAGTGTTGGATAAGTCATATGATTTCTTTTGATTTACTTCCAGGGAAAACAGAAGAAAACATTAAAGAAGAGCGTGCAAATGACAGCAGTCACAGGTAATTCACACTCAAAAGGGGGAATTTATGGCAAATATTTGCAATTTATTTTAAGAAATATGGAAACCAAACCAATGATCCAACTACATCTAAGTGTAAAATGGTTCTATGACAAATTTTTCTAAAACCTGCATTGAGTTTGTTCACCCAGAACTGTTGAGGATTCCACCTCTATAATCTATTAATATTTTCTGAATGTGTTATACTAGGCAGTGTAAACATTTCCCAGTGATTTGAGACAGACAACCTTCTCTTCATTGCACAAAAGTATTTTAATATATTTATATCAGGTTGTCTTTAGGATTTGGATATATGCCTTTATGTTTGAATTTTAGTTTTAAATTGGGATCTAGCATCAATAAATCTCTTGAAGGTTGCTCCAATATTTCAAATTTCATCATTCTCAGTCTACATCCTTTGCATGAGTAATTTTCCCAGAGTAAACTGTATAGACATTTTTAAAATTAATTCTTTGATAATTTAACTATGCATGCAATATATTTGACTATAGATATATCCTTCTCTCTCTCCAACTCCCCTGGCATCTTTCCTCACATCCCTCTTCCAGTTACTACATGTCTTCTTTTTAAAAGTTTTTAATAACCCATGTGATCAAATTAGTGTTACCTGCATAGTAGTGGGTATAGGATATTCCAATGGAGCATGAGGAACTCAAGGGTCCATACTCTTAAAGAAAAAATTCCTTATAAAAGTAAACACTTAGGATTGTCTCTTAGATCAGGATCTTTCTTTGTGAATCTCAAAGTTGGCATCATTCTACTGCTACCTCCTAAATACTCTATTAACTGGAGGTGATGGGAATAAGCCACAGCATCTAGCCACCAATGTTTCTCTTGGCTAATCTTAAAATATTAGTTATGCTTTTTTTTCCCAGAACACAGATGGTTGAGAAAGACTGTAAATATGGAGATGTTTGTCAGTGTGGAGAGACCCACCACCAGATTCCAGAATATGTTGTTAATGAGGACATGCCTTCTGCAACAGCAGTATATGAGAGCAATGTGTGTGCAAGAGACACCATTGGTTCTTTACACTCAGATGTGTATCTCACAGGTGAAACTGAAAAGAAATCATTTAAGAATAAGGGACATATGGAGGTAGATTTTCAACATGAGAAACGTTATACAGATTTCACTTCTGAGTACTTTCAGGTACTCAAAAATCCTAGGCAAATAGTTTATAAAAAGAAACAATCTAATGAAGCCTATAGGACTCATACTTCTGATCAAAATTATGAGCGAATTTACAGTGATGGTACATGTCATGAATATAATCAGTTTGAAAAAGCTGTTGGGAAATACACTTACTTTCAAATGTATGAAAGAATCCACACTGGTGGGAAAACATTTATGTGTAAGCAATGTGGAGAAGCCTTTATTAATTTCAGTCAATTTGTCTACCATGAAAAAAATCATACTGGAAAAGAATGTTATGTGTGTAATCAGTGTGGAAAAGCATTTAGACATTATTCATACCTTCAGAAACATGAAAAAATCCACAGTGGAGATGCACCCTATGTATGTAAACAATGTGGCAAAGCCTTCATTCGTTCATCACACCTTCTTGTACATGAAAGAATTCACACTGGTGAGAAACCTTATGCTTGTAAGCATTGTGGGAAAGCCTTCAGCCATCACAGTGCCTGTTATAGACATGAAATAATCCACACAGAAGAGAAACCTTATGTTTGCAAGCAATGTGGAAAAGCATTTACTTGTTCTACATCCCTTCGCAACCATGAAAGAATTCACACTGGAGAAAAGCCCTATGCATGTAAGCAGTGTGGCAAATCCTTCATTCAGCGTGATGCTTGTTACAATCATGAAAGAACTCACACTGGAGAAAAGCCCTATGTATGTAAGCAGTGTGGGAAGGCATTTACATGGTCCACATGCCTTCGCAATCATGAAAGAACTCATACTGGAGAGAAACCTTATGCCTGTAAGCATTGTGGAAAAGCCTTCACCCATTCCAGTACCCGTTATAGTCATGAAAGAATTCATACTGGGGAAAAACCATATGTATGTAAAAAGTGTGGGAAGGCATTCATTCATTCCAGTCATCTTATCAGTCATGAAAAGATCCACACAGGGGAGAAACCTTATCCATGTAAGCATTGTGGAAAAGCTTTCATTCAGCGTAAGGCTTGTTACAATCATGAGCGAACTCATACTGGAGAAAAGCCTTATGTATGTAAACACTGTGGAAAAGCATTTAGGTGTTCCACATACCTTCGCAACCATGAAAGAACTCACACTGGAGAGAAACCTTATATATGCAAACATTGTGGGAAAGCTTTCACACATCAGAGTGCCCGTTACCGTCATGAACGAATTCACACTGGAGAGAAACCCTATGTATGTAAAAAATGTGGAAAAGCCTTCAGTGATTGCAGCTATCTTGTGAAGCATGAAAGAATTCATTGGCGAGAAACCTTACACATGTAAAAATAAGAAAGCTTTTATGTGTTCCATACCCCTGCATATACATGAAAGAGCCAACAGAAAAGAAATTAAGTGTTTACAGCAGTGATTCTGATGGCCTTGTCTGTGGACAAATTACTTCTATTGTGAGGTATGAAAGAAGAATGTGGACAACTCACTAAAAGGCTCAGTGGGTAAAGGCACTTATTTCTAAGTCTGATAATCTGAGTTCCATCCCAGGGTCCCATATGTGGAAATAGAGAATCATCCCCAAAATTTACCTCTGAGTTCCATGTGTACACATGGGCTCACACACAAGCTTAATATTTATTTTTTTAAAGGGGAGATTAACAAAGCTGCATAAATGTAGTTGTATCCTCAATATGCAAATATATATGTATATATATATACATTGTACATATAGACATATATGTATATTTATGATACATGGTAAAAATCCTATTGCACTGTACATGATAGGGCATGCTTTTATTTCAGCTCTGGGTAAAGAAGCAATGGTAGAGACTAGAGAATAATAATGGGTATAGTGGGTTTGAACACCACATGGGAAGCTTAAGAAGAACCAGTTATAGCTGAGTAGAATTTTCTTTACAAAAAGAAAAGATGGTTTAGCCATTTAAAGTACATACTGCTCTGCAAAGGACTTGATTTTGTTTCCCAGTGGCCACATGGTGTGGCTCACAACCACCTGTAATTCCAAATTCAAGAACCATGATACCCTCTTCTTGCCTCTGTAGGTATAGAGCACATGTGATACACACACACACATATATATAAATAAAAAATACATTTAAATAATTAAGTGCATAAAGCAAATAGAAAGGTGTGTGTTCAAATAAGAAAATGTATGAAATATTATGTAGTTTAATCTTTTAAAGGTAATGTGGAGAGTGAGCAAATTTATTTGCACAGAATATTTCTAAAAATAAGCTGGAGTACAGCTGGGGCATTTTAAATCATTGTTCAATTCTTATATGAGACCTTTAATTTGCATATCGTTTTTTATAGTTTTGAAATAAGATTTGGTGAATAACATAATTTTGCCTGCCTGTATTCCCTGTGCTTGGAATGCTGAAGCCACCAAGACAATGTCTCTGACAATAGCAACCATATAAAAAACATTTGGGTTGAGGTAATGTAAGCTTGGTTAACTTCAGTTCAATGGGTATAGTTTAAATGAAGGGAGGTAATACTTTTTCAGCTTTACTGTAGAGATATTGGATTCATTAAACTGAGATGTATTTGTAATAAAACAGACTTAATTTTAACTAGTTAGTTGTGATTGTGGTTCATTTGAAAGTAAAAATGTATGCTTCTTAAAAGTATTTGCTCACATGTCATTATTTTAAACTATTGCTAATTCCTTTACAATTTCCTTATATTTGTATGGGAAAAATGGAATTTTTGGTATTTATGTAGATTTTATATTTTGTGCTTTTTGGTGTATGTGTTGTTCCAATAATAGTGTCTTGTTTCTTTTTCGTTTGTAAACAGGATCTTGCTGTGTAGGAGTGACAGGCCTAGAACTCATATAATTACTATCTTTGCCTCCAAAGAGTTGGAATTAAAGCTTGCAATACCACACCTGGATCAAATGGGAATTTTGTATATGTGTTTTACAGTTAGTTATTTATTTGCTTGTTTTGTTGTTTTTTTATTATTATTGTTTTGTTTTGAGAAAGGGTCTTGGAGTATAACTATGGCTGTCCTGGGTTATGTAGACAAGTCTGGCCTCAAACATGATTCATCAGCTTCTGACTTCTAATGGCCAGAATTAAAATCATGAACCAGTATGTTTGGCTGTATGTTTTAGTTTGTTTTTTAAAGTAATTGATTAAAAAAAGTATTACTGGTGAGTGTATATGTTTAAGTTCACTGCATATGAGTGTGTTTGGAGATTATGATCATCAGATGCTTGGAGTTGGAGGTGTAGGTTGTTGTCAAACAGCTGAAATGGGTTGTGGGAACTCAACTGAAGTTGTCTTGTCTGAAGACTGGCAAGAAATCTTAACTGCTGGACCATCTCTCTAGCCCCTTCTTGCTCTTAATTTTTTTTCTGACAATTTTATACACTTAAACAATCAATTTTAGTCCTTTCTCTTCCACATTTCCTTTTCATCTCTGTCCCTCTGATGCTGGGATCCTTCTTGTTTCCATGTTCTATGTGTGCCCCACTGAGTCTAATATAACTTTCTTGCTCAAGCATGGATTAAAGATCATCTGCTGAAGGGCAAATTTTGAAAAGATGATTCCTCTGCAACAATAGCCTACTGGATATATGGAGTTTCATGGTCCTTTCTCCCATACATGATAATATGTTCACTGGCCCAATCTTGTGCAGATCTGGTACAGATAACCACAGGTGCAGTGAGTTCTTACCACACACACACCACTTTTTGCAGACAGCATCTGTTATGTAGCCCTGGCTGTGTAGACCAGGCTGGCCTGTAACTCAGAGTTCTACCTACCTCTGTCTCCTGTGCTGGGACTAAAGTCATATGACATTATGCCCAGCAAGTTTGTACATGTTCTCACTGCACTCATTCCTTCCTATCCTTTGTCTTTGTTCCACCCCCACTTCTGCACTGTTCCCCAGTCCTTGGAGGGAGTGACTTTTCTGGTCCACTTAGGAATCAACACTCTACCATTACTTATTCATTTTACTTCATTTGTGGGTTTTTAAGCCATTACTTCCTACAGTGAGAAGCATTTTGGATGAAGAATGTATACAACACTAATCTCTGGGTATTAGTGCTTACAAGATGGTTTGACAAAGTGACCATTTTTCCCTATAATAAAAAGTTCTCCCCTTCCCCTGATATGTATGACTTCAGCAGTCACAGGCTTTAAAACTGGTTTGAAGAACCAGGTATGCATCTCTCTTGTCACCAAATGAAGCTTCCAGTACAGGGACACATTCAATTGAGTTGTTAGCCAAAGGGACACTATATAAATCCCCAAACAATCCAGACTGTTGCAAAGACAAAGACCACCACCCAAAAACTGACAGCAAGGCCTTGTTGCTGAAAACAACACCCACAAAACTCATTAAATATGGAAATATTGAGCTGGTGCCTACACAGATCCTTCACCCCCATCTTCGAGTATATTTGGTATGGGAAGGTACTCTCCAGGCTACTTGAAGAAATGTACAAACACCAGCCCAGCCACAAGCCCTGTGATCTACAAGTGTCCTGCCTGCAAAATATGCTAGGGCAGTGATGGCACAAAGCTTGTGAGAGTAAGCAAAGAATGTCTAATTTGACTTAAGACCCACTCCTCAAGCCAAAACCCACTGACACCCACAGAACTGAAACTATTTGGGTGACCAAGAACCAGAGACTAGATAGCACAGAGACTAAGGGTAAAACCAAATAGAACTAGTCTAAAAAGGATCAGTAGTAATGATATTCTGCCATACTCACAGATCAGTTCCTTATTCAGTCACTATCAGAGATGCCTCTTCCTGCAGTACATGGAAATATAGATACAGAAACCCACAGCCAGGCATTGCATGGAAAGAGTCTAAACAGGTCCTCTGCATTTGTATTGAAGTTTTCAGCTTAGTACTTTTATGGGAATTTCTGAATGTGTGAATGAGTGGGTCTTTCATATATAAGAATAAAGAATCTCCAAATAGGGATACTTTGACCACTTATATTCCTATGCATCCCTTTCATGTCTTCCTTTTATTACTTTAGCTGGGACTTAAATCATTATACTGAATAGTAGTGGTGACAGGTGACTCCTTTGTCTTGTTCATGATCTTACTTGGAATGCACTGTGGATTTTACCATTTAGCATAATGATGGCTATAATTTTTTCATTTATACCTGTTGAGATATGTCCCATCCCTTTCTATTGTCCCTGGGGACTTTTTCATAAAGGGAATTAGGATTTTGCCGAAGGCCTTTTGTATTCCCTAATCCTGTGATTTATATCATTGGGTTCATTTATATAATGAAATATATTTATGTATACACACATAAATACATATTTATAATACATAATTATGTATGTATGCCTATGAACCATTCCTCTATGCCTTCAGTGGGACCAGATATATCATGGCAAATAATACCCTCTACATATTCCCAGTTCCATTTCTGTTAGTGTTCTTGGTGCCATACTCAAGCCCATTAAATGAACTGAGGATAGTAGAGACAAACCACATCACAGTTGATGGATTCTGTGGTTACTTCACAGTTTTTCCATTTCCATCTGGGGTGATGATTTCGGCCCCAGCAGCAGTTGCTAGGGAATTACTGGATAAGATGCTTACCAGCACATCTCTTGTAGATTTGTTGGTAGAGATCTTTTCACCTGGATTCTACAGCTGCAGCAGCTCCTGAATTTCCTTCAGTCACAAGTTCAGTCTAATATGGATTCTTTGGTTTCTTCAATGTTTTTAGTTCTTTACATATTCTACTTATTCTCAGTAAACTCTGTAGTTAGCCAAGATTTTTCTCATATTCCCTTTTTCTACTCAGTTTTTTTCCTTTGTCTTGAGAGGTGAGAGAGAGGGAAAGAGAGAGAGTGTGTGTGTGTTTAAAATTCTTGGTTTGGATGAGCATGTTGTCATATGCTGTTATTTCAGTGCCTAGGAGGTAGAGAGAGGCATTCAAAACCAGCCACAATTACACAGTAAGATTCTCTCTTAAAAAAGAAAATCAACAACAACAAAAAAATCCAACTCAAAGTAGCTATCATTGGTTTCTGTGGTAATATTTATTTCAGGGATTTTGGTGGGGTATTTTGGGGGGTGTTTATCTTTATGGGTTTGAATATTTTGAATGTGATTATTTTCATGAGTTCTTTTATAGAATGTTTGTAATTGTGGCATAGAAAAGCCTCTGATTTTTTGCATTTTGCTGAATTCATTTTTGTTTTAAAAAAATCATTTCTAAGGAACCCAGCAGGTAAAGACACTTGCTGCTAGACTAAAAAAAGCCTGACAACCTGAACTTGATATGTAAATCCCACATATAAGTAGGAGAAACAAATATGACTCCAAAAAGTTGGCCTCTTACCTTCACATGCACACTGTCATATTTACTTCTACAAATACATCATAAACACAATAATAAGAATAAATATTTTTTAAATTTAACTGATGAAAAACCACTATGTAAATAACAAAATAATTTTAAAAAGTGTTACAGTGTTGCTTGGGGCTGCAGAGATCGCTCAGTGGTTAGGAGCACTTACTCCTTTTCCAGAGGACCTCTGTTCAGTTCCTAGAACCCATAAGATACCTAACAACTGTCTGTAACTGTAGTTCCAGGGGATTGACTTCCCTATTCTGGCCTCGATGGGTCCCCAAGCACTCTAAAACAGTTGGCAACACAAAATATTATACCCAGCAAATCTGTCTAGTACAGTTGAAGGAAAAAATGAATATATGATCTGAGAACAAATACAAACACATCCAAGCAGTCACAGACATACACACACACACACGTATAGGTGCGTGCACAGGTACCGTGGAATTAGACCAGTCTTGCCTCAAACTCACAGGGATCAACTATCAACTAATATATCAACTAATAACTTTGAATATTAATGGTTTCTTGTTGTTGTTGTTGTTAAAGAATCCAGAGAGGTCTTTTTTTGTTCTGTTTTGTTTTTTATGTGTTTTACATCTCTTGAAAAAGTATTCCAGGCTTTTCTCTCCTGTATATTTTTATTTTGCTTCATGGTTCATGATTCCATCTGAGGTCAGGACCAAGCAAAACTGATAGGATGTGAGAAGATTGCCCTGCCATTTTCCTAGGCCTTTGAGATGCACATCAAATATGGGGCTTCTCATTCCATATTTGTTCAACCTTCCTGTGACAGTCACAGTGATTTCCCCAGCTCTTTCATCATGATGACTTTAAATTCACCAATGTAACCATGCTTCATCATCACACTCAGTAATCAAACAATGACTTTGTGGCATTGCCTGATGAGACCTGGCATTTGCCTCTCAGCATTATTGATGCTCTTGAGAGCATCTGCTGGGGCATTTGTGTGCACCATAGTGATGGCATGCAAGGATGGCAGAAAATCAATATTAATGGTTTTAGTTCTCAATAAAGAGACATAGATTAGCTTGGCATAGAAAATAAGTTCCATCTTTTTGCTGTCTTCAAGAAACACACCTTGCCATAGAATAAAGATGCAGCCCTGGCATAAAAGTGGAAGAAGGTATTCAAAGCAAATAAAATAAACAAGTAGGAGTTCAGATTAGTTTGGGGTCAACATAACATTGTCATCACCATTTGAG